GTCATGATTCTTGAGTGCTGTAAAGTATTTATTTGTCATGACAAGCACTTTGTAAAATCTTATACTCAACATTCCCTCCTTACTTTATATCCTATTATCTGCTTGCAATTTTTCCTTTTTCATTTACAAAGTTAACGATTTTTAGGTATATTATAAGTGTAGAACTTTGTAGTTATTATTGTTTCCCTATTATTTGACTGAAAAAATTCCCAGAATTTTGGGAAAGTTTTATTTGTTATGTTATCTATGATGAAAACAGAAATTTATGAAGCAACGGTACTGAAAAATGTTGCTTTTTAACATTTATCTTGTATAGACTGGCTTTTATGAAAACGAGAATGATTCCAATTTTTTTGTAAATAAAAAAGTGGCACGACAACAATACTGTACACATTTGCCCGAAATTGATCAAAGTCTCCAATAATCAGGCTTTCACAGCTTGACCACTGATAAGGAGTCTGCTATTGTACATAGCCTACCAAGTGCATTTGTTACCAACCATTCTTATCCATGTAAGTGCAATCAATGTGTTTAAAATCTAGACTTAAACTTTATCTGTGAACTGTCTTGTACTGAATGTATCCCTCCGAACACCAGAATGTACTTTTGTATTCCTTTTTGTATCCAGTTTTCTTGAGGTGTAGCATGTAACAGGGTGGAAAGGATTATTGTAATGAAGAGCACAACTATTTTCATGTACTGAAGCACATTCCCGTTTGCCTGTTGCTTGTTAAAACAATATGATACTGTATCTAACAGTGCAACCAATTAAGAATTTGAATCCTTCTGTACCTAATGACTGAAATCTGCATAAAACTATCTGTAAGAAGTCAACTTTTAGGATAGCTAGCTAAAGATCCTAGAGATCAACATTTCATCAAAAAGAGGTACTCAGCCATCTACAACAAAATTAATTAGTTCCCTTCAGAGCGATCTCTCTCCCTCTCTGACAAACTAAAATGAAAAACCAATCCAACACGGAATGTGAACAAAATAAATGTAGTACTTGTAGTATAATATATTATCCTCCATTAGATGTTTGCAGCTTATGTCAATGTTAGAAACCGATGTGATCAATCATTCAAATAAAACTATGAAACAAAAAGAGAAAAAACACTTGTGTGCAAATTTTTATGTCTGTACAGTCACGAAAGATGAAATATCTGGACAAATTGGATAAAGAATACACTTTTCAGGTGAAGTATGTGTTTATTGGGAGATCCCACAGGCTGAGCGGCTCAGTACGGTATAACACAGTGCTGCTCAATAATTCTTGTAATTTAGGCTGGTTTGACAAATACGAAATACGCCAGATGATCACGAATCTTAGACCTGTCAAATGTTTACACCAGATAACGTTACGTAGCGCAATCAATCACAATTTAATTACGAAGTTGGTTGTAGCGTAATACATTCTCACAGCCATACACACCTCTAACAAAAAAAAAAAATATCTACACACAGCTAATAAAGAAAACAAACGTCTATAAAACAAATTGATGATTGCACCAGTCTGACACACAGAATAAACTGATTAGCCGCACCAGTCAAATATATTAGAATAATTTGTTTAGCTGCACCAGTCTGATACCTAGGAAATTTGTTCCATCAAGTCTTATCATGAATATTGGCTGGTGTTCTCCCATGCATGTTTCCACACAAAACTCCACTTTCTGCTGGTCCTCCAGATCCTCCAGATCACATCACATACAAACCATTGGACTTCTCAAGCAGCCTGCAAACTGCTTGAAAATTACATTTGCTAATATAAAAACTAGTAATTACGATTCATCATACTTATGTCAAAGGCTTTGCATGTAAATTTAATTTAGGTAGAGGTAGCATTTAAGACACAACTGATTGGAAGCCAACAGTCCTTTAATCTGCTGTTTGCATCCATCAATTGTGCCTACAAGAAGAATTTTCAAAAAGTTTAAACAACTCACAGAAAAGGAATGAAGAATGAACAATTCATTGAAAACTTGAGAAGCCCAGTCAATAATATTAATTTTAGTAATTATATTTACAAAAGCTAACTGATTTAAAATGAGAGTCAGCAACAGCCTCAGCTTGCTTCTAGGTCCGATTCTGGTCTACCGCAGCTTTCCTCGAAAATGACATCAACCATGAATGATTGATAAAAACCCTTTATGATAGCAGCTTTCCTCGAAAATGACGCCAACCATGAATGATTGACAAAAACCCTTTATGATAGCAATCACAGTGTACATGCAGAGTATAATTAATGAACAAAGATGATCAAAGCCCAATTACATTAACTTTGTTATGAGAGTTATGTAAAACAATAAGAAAAATATATGATCAAAAAATTGTAAGATTGTGTAAAGCCATTTGAAGGAAATAACATGTATGAAATGTAAAGCAGATTTGAAGTCCACAACATATACACTAAACAAAAAAAAAAATGGATTCTTAACAGATGAACATAATACTATGCCATTACAAAATGATAAATCAGTAAAACACTAGCCGTCAGAAGCGGTATATCACAAGTAACTACTTTTGGATTGAAATACAATTGCCAACATCAGATGGGCGAAACAAACCCAATTTTATGTAAAATCCGGTAGGTACATAAACTTGATGCATGTCGGCAGTGTTACAACCTTTATTTACAGTATCTTTGTTAAGGTGGGTGAAAAACTTGCCCAAAATCACATCTTAAGCTGACAAAAAGCTTAATTGATAGAGAAAAATACCAGCAATGAGTGACAGAATGAACAACAAGGCTACACTTACATCTTTAACAAAGATTCCACCAAATGTAATCAAATGGATACCATGTACAATTCCTTCTTCAAACAGACAGAAAAATATTTGAGCTAGCTTAAATTGGATTAGTTCAGATCATTTCAGCCATAACACTTTCTCAAAAATTTAGCTAATAAGAAATTTCTCTAATTAAGAAAATTCAGCCTGTGTTACTTCAGACAAACACTGTTTTCACCAATAAAATACCACAAAACCACAGTAGAAAGAATTTGCTAATATGAAATATCAGGCATGCAATTCACACAGCCTGTACATTGCTATTGCAAGTACCAACAGACAGAATTGAATAATTTGCTAATTTGAAACCTTAGGTGTCACATTGATTTGGGCAATACAGATTTGTCTCAGAGAATCTACTTATCATTTTGCTTTGGTCCATGCAGCAAACTCAGTGTCCGCACCGAGTGAAGTAATGTGTAGATCATTTGGTTGAGCTTGTGCTGGAATTGATGGCTGGCTTACCAAAACCGGACCAAACAGGATCAAGCCGCGCTGAAGCAGACACTGCATTCAATTAATTAACACTTAAGGTTAACCATTATCTGCCATGAATGAGTGCTGTGATCTCAGTTCTTCTAGATACTGAATTTGCTGACGAATACAGAGTACTCTGAAAAACAAAAGTCATAATGGCAATTACAAAACAAGCAATTGTGTATTTACTTTTAAAAATTCGAATCAAAGTACGATAGTCAATTGATATGGGATCATCAACACACCTCTGTTCTTGTAAAGTTGCTTGTATTTCAGTTAACCTAACAATGGAGCGTGCTGACTTCAATTCAGCTGACACACGAGTGCACTGAAGGCTTCCAAGCTGATGAGCCTCTTCACTATATTTCTGAGCCTAAAGGAAATGAAAATTTTAAAATTTTGAACAAATTATTTCAATGAGCAGCTCTAAATTAATAGTTCAATGAGGAAAATCCAAACTGAATGTTAATTTCTTACCTGCTTCTCAAGGATATCCGCAGGCCAACCTCTGACATGGTTAACCAGGTCATCCCTGTAGTGATTAGCTAGGCTTGGAGTGAGACTAACGCCTTGTGGGCGTAGGACTTGCAAAGAACTACTCTGAGACAAGGTCTGCGACAAGGTGGGAAGTGTACTCAAGTTGCTTGGTGGACTTGAAACTGGAACATGAGAGGTAAAAAAACAATTTTTAAGCAAGACAACATAAAGGGGCAAATTATTTGTCAACTAAAATTGAATACTGACGTTTCCTAGCATCTAGACAATCTTGTGTCTCTGAATGAGTGGGCGTTGGGGGGCCATCACCCAGCCCGGCGTGAGACGTGTCCACGACCAGAGGTGCTTCGGGACCAGGCGCTGGAGTCGACTGAGTCGACAACATAGTCTGAATGGATTGAAGAGCTTTCTTTGGAGATAATGTCTCCTGACTTTGGGTGATTTGTGACAGAATATGAGGCAGGCTTGATAAAGTCACTGGCGGATTGCAAGGCGACGAGACAGATGATGTAGGCGGAGTTGACGAGATGACCGGGATCGCAGAGCCTGTGGTGGCCATGCTGGCCGCGACGCTCACTGGGGCCACACCGGGTGGCGGTATGCCCGGGGGCATGCCCGTAAGCGCACCCGGAGGGTGCAGTCCTGGAGGGAGCACGCCGGGCGGGTGCACCCCCGGCGGGCAGGGGGGCACTCCGGGAGGGGGAACGCCCGGGGGCGGCACACCCGGCGGGGGCAGACACGGGGGCGGGATGCCCGGGGGAGGTACCCCCGGCGGCGGCAAGCCCGGGGGCATGCCAGGGGGCGGGACGCTCACGCTCGGGGGCGGCCCCGCCGGGTACAGGCGAGTGGGCGGCGAGGGCTGCGAGGGCGGCGGGTGGCTCGTGAGCCGGGGCAGGGCGTTGGCGAGCAGCACGGGGCCCTGGGGCACCCCTTGCGGCACCCCCACCACCTGCGGCACGCTGCCCGCGAGGCTGCCATTGTTGGTGCTCGTCGTACCGTCCACCACTGTGGGGATCATTTGCCCGGTGTGCGTGTGGGAGTAACACGTCTCAGACGTCGGCGTGCTGTCGCCAGAGCATATGTCCATATCCTGGGACGAGGTGGTCTCTCCTGCAATAAGACGTGTTATCAGTTGCAGGCCGATCACAATTTCGTAAGTTGGCATTTATATCAAAAATAGAAAATGTAAATGGGGACGCACTTTTGTAGAATTTTCGCTCACCGTCAGGGTGTTTCCTCCTTTCCATATCCTCACGTCCAGTCTGTACTTGGTTGCTCCAGTACAACGCTTCACGTTTGTCTCCGCCAAGGAGTCGTGATTTGGAAGCCTGCTCTCGGGAGCTGATGGCTGATGAACGTGAATTGGAATGTTTGTCATGGCCTAAACAGGAAGAAAATGACATCAGAAATAAACATATTACAGGCGAATTCTTCAAATGCAAAACGGCTACTCACCTCCTCTGGCAGAGGTACTGCTACTGCTGTATAGTCTGGCATCTCCATCCCGATCCCGATCCCTTTCCCTGTCTCGATCTCTTTCCCTATCCCTCTCTCGGTCTCTGTCCCTCTCACGTTCTCTTTCTCTCTCCCTCTCACGTTCTCTTTCTCTCTCCCGCTCACGTTCTCTCTCCCTCTCCCTTTCACGGTCTCGCTCCCTCTCTCGGTCACGTTCCTTCAGGCGGCTGCTGCTGCTGCTACTGCTGCCAGCTGCGCAGCTCCTGTCCCGATCCCGGTCTCTCTCTCTATCTCTTTCCCGTTCCACCCATTCTCGCGGCTTCTCCCACTGACTCACTTCCGTCTTACAATTGTAGTAGTATTTCTTGCCAGATGATGACAAGTGCTCTGACCAGTCGCCGACTCGTGGGACTCGATCCCGGAGATCTTTCTCCTGAAACGAACGAATTACAAAGTATTAATAGAAAGTTGTATCATGACAGATGTGCCCAAATACTGGGCAAAAAAGCAACTCAACAAGGGCATAAAGACCAAACAAATGAACTTTGACAACACACTCTAGAAGGGAAAGAAGAGGAAAAGACAGCATGAAAGCATAGTTTCCACAAATGAAGCATGGACTAGGGATTAGTCTACCACTATCAATGATAAAGTTACAGCTGAGACAACCCAACTTCTAATTAAAACCAAAATCTTGTATCTACGTCAGTTCAAAATTGTTTAAAACAAATGCAAAATGCTGCTACAACTTCTATACAACATGAACTAAACAATGTTGCGTGGCTTTTGTAAAGATAGCATTAAGAGCTACAGGCAATTTCAAAATAATGCGAATTGTTAGTTTTGGATTTAAGTCTTGATACCATGCAGAAGTTAGTTGAAATGAAGCCTAAACATGATTTTAAAACAAGCAAAACACATTTCACACAATCAGAATGAATAAAAATTATTCTACACTGTTACAGATAAATAATGGCTAGATAAAATTAACTGGAGAACGCTATATAACGCCAAAAGCAACACAACTCACCTGGACAACATTAATTATCAAAGAGGGTTTCCTCAACGAGTCTCTGGATGAGCAATTGTGAGTTACTTTGCTAGAAGAATGAAGGATGACCTTCTGAAAGATGGAGAGGGAAAGAAATTAGGATGCAGCAGACCCCACCAAAAGGCAAGAGAGCATGAAGACAGCAAAAATAAGCATTGGAATTGGAAAGGAAATAGGAGCAGTTGACAGTTCATTTAAAACTTTAGGTGACAACAATGCTTTTGATACGGCCACGAGATCAGAACATGAAGAAAACAAAACATAACAAAACAATAGAGCCCCAAAAAACAAGTGATTTAGTCGGCAGCAGCACCTCATGATACAACATGAGGTTCCTGACATTAATAGCGGTGGAAAGTGTTGTCAGAGACAATAATAACAGAATGGTCTATAACTAATAGTATCTCATTAAAGGCATGACATCAGTCAGTTGACCCACCCAGAAATTTATATACAAAAACACATTACAAAAAGAATTCAACACAGAAAAGATCATTAAATAAACTTACAGAATAAGAATTTACCTCCGTGCTATTCCTATCATGGTTGGTCCGATGCTCAGAGTCCCTGCTCTCCCTACGGCGCTTGTCTTTGGGAGATCTGGCACAGTCTGCATATAAAAATAATATTTTCAGATTATAATAAAAATACTGTCCTCAGTATTAATACAGCACACCATTAATAACTACATTTTTACGTACCAGAATACTTGTCTCGAGTTTTGTAGTCTCTGGTTTCTCTCTCCTTTTCACGCATCTTCTGAATGAATGAGCTTTTGTTAGGGTAGCTGCGGTCCCGCTCACGAGGACTCCCTGAGTCTGGGCTGTCTGAGCGATAAGAGTTACCATTGGGAGAATCGCGCATTCTCTCATGGTTGTACCGATCCCCATAGCTAGATTTAGAGCTGCTATACTTGGAGTTCTGTAAAGAGAAGTCCATATGTGAAGCTAAAGTAAGTAGAAAATGTAGAGATGACAAATCAAAAGCGCCTCGCAGTGTGTTCCCAATATAAATGAACATATGCAAAACTATAATAAAGGCAATTTGACAGGAATTAAAGCCTATAATCAAAATTAAGAAGTGTAAAGATGTCTCACATCAATACAATTGGATTCATGGTAGATGCTTCAGAAGACTCATAAAAGAGTAGCCATTCAACAAAGTTAGGCCTTCAGATCAGTTCCAAACCAAAAGATAGACTGTAAATGTCAAATAATTCACTACAACGTTCCTGAATATGTTAATGGACCTGTGAATGGAATTCTGTAGGCCAAGTTCAGAGCTAGTCTGATAAATATTCCAAACTTTGGCGAAACAATATAGTGAAGTATTTGCGACGCTCCGGGTAGAGAAAGCGCTCACACACGGATAATATTCACATTAATAGTAAAGTGGGCGTTAGATAGTACACACATACAAAAGGCATCAGCAAAGAATTTTGAGGTTAGAGTGGTTAGGGTTCAGAGTAATATTTTCGTGCCGGAAACAAAGAAAACATAGGTTATGGAATCCGGTAAATACGCTCCACGAAAAGGGCAAAAAGTACGTCCAGCCGGAGGAATAGAAACCTTTTTTTTCTATGCGTACGTCTGCACTCCTCGTTGGAGCTCGGCGGCTACCATAGGCACAACAACGGCAGAGGGGATGACGGCTCGACAACGGAGGTCCACTCTGCCGAGCCGCAGTGAGGTGAAATAACAGATGCGAAAGGAGAACCATGCATAGCTACATCAAACAAAGCGAGTGTCGGCGTAAACGCGGCCTCCAATAACAATTTCTTTTGACAGTAATTAGGCCTAAACCAGAATTGTTAAATCTAAGCCTATCACCGACCTCATTCGCAATTACCTGGTACTGATGGGCTTGATGTTTTTCGAGGTACCTGAGAACAAAATAAACTCTGTGAGCAATGCGTTGACGGCAAGCCGAAAAACAAATCAAATAAGCCAAAGATACAAAAATTGTTGGGGGAGAAAATAATGCAAGAGCACTGTGGCGTTAGCTATTATTCGGCGAGGTTTCAGCATACCCATCGTTTATCCTTGGCGGTTTCCTTGCATGCATTACCATCAATGCAAGTCTCTGTATAATATGGGCGGCTCTAAGGATAGCCCGGTTGTTGATATGTTGTCATAAAAACAACATTAATGCCTTCTTAAGATCAAACTATCTTTCCAGACGCCATGTCACTTTCGGTGGTGGACGAGGGACGTGAGCTGAGATTTAGAAGAACGACTCTCGAAACTTCATTGGTTTTGTTCAAAGGCGTTAAAGAACTACAAAACTGCCAATGTCTGATCGTACAAACACACAGTGTTCTGAGACTTTACAGAATGAAATAATTTCTAGAGGTAGAGTAGTGTATAAAAATAAGTTACACAAATTATGTGGCGCTCCAAACATTTCTATTTTGTTTTGAAGTGTAATTTTGATATCGCGACGTTTTTGCAGGGTTGGCATTATTGAAACTGGTTCCTCTACTTTCCAACAGATGGCACCAGATGGCAGGCATAACTGTGCGGCGGAGGAGACTATTCTTTTCTTTTCTTCCTGTTTTCATCAACAAATAGAAAATGATTTTTTTCTTTCAATTTGTCGTTGTGGTTGGAATATATCTGAATTTGATTCGTCGAGGGGAGTTGCTTATCCATGAAAGTTGTTATGTATGTTCTTTCCCCTTCCTCTTTGGCATTCTGCTTTAATGTTAACTTTGCTCATATTTTGACATAATGTAACCTGTATTCTTTGGTCACTCTAGATATTTTGAGGGAAGAAGTGATAGATTAATAGATAAGAAAATATAATCGAGATGTAACACACAGTTCTTTCTTTTATTACATTTTTGGGCGTTCATACAAATGATAGTTACCCAAAATCACAGATTTTGGAGGGGAGAAAACAATTGTCAGATTTGAAAATGCTACAAAAAAAAGTCCATAACTTATAACTGATTATAACACCATGTACAGAAGTAAAAATGATCAAAGTTTAAAAATTTAAAGAGATACAGAACTTGTTCATGGAACAACATCCCTCTTAGACACTAATATATTTTCAGAAAATTGCAACTATGACTATATGGATTGTAAGTGTTCCACAAAAAACACATGTAACAACACAGGAAACAACCTGTGTCTGATCCAAGAAGCAGTAATATAATACAACAGTCAAAACATTTATCCCCAAACATCACATCCACATCCAAGTAATTTAATATACATTACAGTTTCACAACAAAACACAAAATAATTGATTTCATCCAGTTGATACATTTTTTACAACAGTACCTCTTGTCGAATACACAAAAACACAACTTTCAGTAATTTACTGAAACTCTTCAACACAAAGTAAAAAAATGTAAAATATTTATGTACTATGAGCAGTAACTGAGCCTAAAGTTGTTTGAAAGCCAGTGTTGATTTATCACAAGTAATTGTTAACAGTCTGGTTGATGCCATTAGTTGACCGAAATTCAGCAGAATGTCGCAATAAATTTTTGAACTAAGGACACAAATGATCTCTCTAAGGAAGGAAGATTTGAGTTCACTTGAGGCTAACAAGTTTATCTTCATCTGTGAGTCCTTCTGGCTGCTTTCCTGATTCGCCTTTGTTGAGTGGCAGCACCAGCAGCAGGATCTTGAGGTGTTGCTCTGCAAGTTTAAGAGGCAATTAAGAATCTGGTGTGGATGGTATAGAGAGGAGAGTGCTATCACACTTTCTGTACTCACGCAAAATTCATAGGTGCCCCACTTCCAGTAAATTTAAAACTGGGCCTCTGATCTCCATTGAAGGCAAATGGTGCAGAATTCTGAAAGAAACCAAATAATTATTAAAAATACAAGTCCTGAAAAAGTTATGATGGTAAGATACATTTATAAGAAATTGAAACTCACTTGAGCTCCAAAACTAGGTTGTGCTTGGGCTGCGAAGTTAAATCCAGCAGAGGGTTGAGGATTATTAGCCCCAAATTGTGGGTTGAATGTTGTAGGAGCATTGAACATTGATTGGCCTGTTGTTTCAAATGGGCTGGGGGCTGGAGTAGCACCATTTCCAGGGGCAGCAAAAGATGGCGGAGACGGAGATGCCCCAAAACTAAATGTTGGTGCAGGTGTTGCTGCTGGTTGTGAGGCTGAGGGGTTAAAAGTAGAGAAAGAGGATGGGTTTGACCCAAATGAAAAATTTGGTTTGGCAGGGGCACTAGCAGCAGCAGGAGCTGGAGCAGGTGCAGAAGTAGCTGCGGCACCAAAAGTAAATACTCCTGCAGGTTGAGGCTGAAATGAGTTTTGAGTAGAAGCTGGATTTGTGGCAGTGAAAGCAAAGCTCGTTTTCTTGGCCTCTTCAGATGATGCTCCAAAAGAAAAGTTGACTTTCTTCTCTTCGGTATTGAAGGCGAATCCAGTTTTCTTTGGCTCAGCAGCAGCATTGAATGCAAATGCCGGCTTTTTTTCTTCAGGGGCTGTTCCGAATTGAGAAGGAAAACCTGAGGCTGACGGTGAACTAAAACTAGGTGTACCCGAGTTGGCTACTGGGAAAGAAGCTGTGGATGACAAGGATCCAAATCCAGTGCCACTGTTGGATCCAAAAGTTAGTGTTGGATTTGTAGGAGCAGCAGATCCAGATCCAAATAGAGCTGAATTATTTTGAGAGCCAAAAGTAGCAGGTGGCTTGCTTGGAGCAGCAGTCTTTTCAGCAGCTGCACCAAATGTGAAAGTTGCTGTACCTGAGCTGCTGTTTGAGCCAAATGCCATACCACTTGATGATACAGTACTTCCGAACGAGAAAACTGGTTTGGGGGCGGTAGCAGCTCCATTACTGTCTGTGGCTGGCTTAGCACTGTCAGTTGCAGGGGGTTTCCAGGTGCTGCTCACTGACTCGTCCTTCGTTGCTCCCATACCAAGTCCAAAAGTAGGAGCTGGTTTAGTTGATGAAGTGGGAGAAGAAACAAGACTTGAAAAAATACTGTTGGCAGTTGTAGTTTTGGCTGCTCCAGTAGTATTCTGGCCGTTAGCTGTACTAGTTACAGTAGCACTCAACAGAGGGGTTGCTGAACTAGCCGTTGAATTTGGGGTAGAAGAAAATGAAAACACAGTGCCTGAAGTGGATGACACAGAAGAGGCACTCGATAGAAGTGGATTAGTTTGAGCATCAGTCTGGTTGCTACCAACTCCAAACTTTACAGGAGGAGCAGAACTGCTTGGTGCATCATCACCTAACTTCCGCTTGCCTTCTAGAGGAGTTACTGGAGTTACTGCAGTACTACTTGCTGGTTTAATTGGAGTTGGTGAGCCCATGGTCTTCGAAAAAGGAAACATGGGTGTGGGGCTGGACTTTGCATCAGTAGCTGACACGCCAAAAGAAAAAGCAGGCTTTGCACCTTGAGCTGGTGAAGATTGAACAGCTGAAGCTGAGGTCGACGGTGATTTAATTTCGAATGTCGACTTCACTGATGGAGCAGGGCTTGGAGATGAGATTGATGTACTTGAACTGAACAATGGTTTATCAGTTGAGGGAGCTTCTGAAACAGGAGGAGATGTAGCAGGAGGAATACCAAATGTGAATGCAGCTGCAGGAGCTGAAGGCTTGCTCTCTCCAAACTTGAAGCCAGTAGAACTTGTTACATTGGATTTATCTTTTTCAACTTCTTGCTGGTCCTTAGGAACACCAAAAGAAAATGCAGGTGTGGATGAGGCAGGTATTCCAAAACTAAACTTTGGAGCTTCTTTAGGTGCAGATGCAGAGGTTTCTGAACCTGGTTTCTTGGCTGAGCATGCAACACAGTTCACAACAGATGACTTGTTTGTAACCATACAGTCACTACAAGTCCATGAGCCTTCAGGCTTCTTGAACTGGTCACCCCAAGAACTTTTCAGAGGGGGATCTGATGCAGCTGCTGAGCCAGGCTTCTTAGTGGTGCAAGATAGACATGCAGACAATTCGGGCCCGTTTCTCACCATGCAAACACCACATTCCCAAGTGTTGCTGGCTGGTTTGAATTTGGCATCCCAACCAGAGAAGGTTGTGGCAGGAGCTGCTGTTGCAGGCTTTACTGGTGCTGCGCCTGGTTTCGGTGAGGTGCACGACACACATTTTGAATCTGAGTCCTTGTTCCTCACCATACATTCTGTGCATTCCCACATTCCCTGCGCCATCTTGAATTGAGCTCCAAAGCTATGATCAGCTTTCAAATTAGCAGAAACACTTGGAATAGTTTTCTTCTCTGAAACATTCGGAACAGTGGACTGCGCCTTGGCTTCTCTAGGGTTGGTACAGGCAACACACTTTGCCGAGTCACTCTTATTTCTTATGAAACATTGGTCACATTCCCACGTTCCAGCCGCAGGTTTAAACTTGTCCATGAGAGAAACCTCACCATTGGCACTAGGCAATGTATTTGTTGTGGTACTGTTGATACCTTTTCCCAAGATGTCCATCACACTACCAGTTTTCAATTCAGGTGCAGTCTTCAAACCCATCATTGCCACAGCAGTATCATTTGATTTCGGAGAGCCAGTGGCAGCTTTGGGGCGGGCTTTGACACAATTTGCTGAAGGGGTTGAAAAGGTTAGAGATGCAGGCAATGGGTTGCTGAAGGTAAAGTTATTCACAGGTGCAAGAGGCTGATCCTTACTTGCTGAAGACACCCTGATGGGTGATGAGAATGAGAATGAAGCATCGGTCGTTGCAGCTTCTGAATTAAATTTATAAGTAGGTAAAGAAGGGCTGGAAGAAGTTGATGGTGTGAGCAGACTGTTCGACAGCTTGGTTGTACCAGGCTGTGCACTTGAAGACAAGGGAGCTGATGGTTTAATGGTATCTGATTTTGGGGCTGGAACACTGATGTCAAAAGTTGGAAGGGAAGATATTGGTAGAGGAACATCAGGGAGGTTTACTTCAACAGCCATTTCTGGTTCTTTAGGTTCTTTGATGTCATTAAGGCGTTGTTTCATTTTCAAAGTATTCCTAGACGAACTGTTGGTGTTGTCACTTGCAGTCCTGTCAACACAAAATACAGGTAATTAGTTTATGCAGATTTAATCCAGTTCACAAAGAGACAAGCTGACAACTAAACACATACCTAAGTGTGTATGATTCAGCATTTGAAGTACACGATGTAGTTGCAGATGTAGCTGTTTCAGGGATAATATCTCGTCGTCGCAGTTTCAATGTATCAGGAGCAACAGGAATTGTTAGTTGAGAAGTGATGGGAGCTCCTTTTGCCCAATGCTGAAAAATGTCCAGAAAAATTATTGACTATGAAAACAAATGTTAACTACTAAATCACTGTAAGGGAAGAAAGATTTTACATACCATAGGTTTGTTGGAAACACGCTTAGGAACTTTAGCCTGTTCTAAAACAAGTAGAGAGTTTCCAGCATCTTCAGCCCTGGTGCGTTTTCTGCTTCCCAAGCTTGCTAAAACTGGCTCCTGAGCAACTGGTATGCGCTTTGCATCCAAAATAGGTGTGGAAAACTGTTCCAGAGTTGCAAGTATTCTCTTAGCAGTTTGACTCATACCACTATCCTCTGCAGCTGACATGTTTCCAGGTTTCACCTACACACACAAGTTATAACACAAAACATAGGTTTGAGGAGGAGAGAACTTGTCAGAAGCAAAGAAGAAACTGAACAAAGGTACTAACCTTGATCGCATGCCTCTTCTCACTGTTTGCAGGAGATGAGGAAAGGGATGCAGAGCCAATAGAACGCCGATAAGATGCTGAGGAAGCACCTCCGTAAGTAGTGCGACCAGTGTAGAAAGGTGAATTAAGAATAAGGTCATTGACAGAACCTCTCTCCCCAAACTGAAAGCACAAAATAAAATTTGAGATTGTTTTTGATTCAGTAATAGCAACAGAGACCATTTAATAACATTTAAGGATAGTTCTTACCAGAGGTGTCCCAAAAGTACTGACACAGAATGATGGGTTATTGCGCCTACCCACTGTTTGATTGTTCCGACTGCTAGATGACCGGTCAAGATATAAACACCTCGAGTTTTGCAAATTACCTAGATAGATAAAATGAAATGAGTGACTGTTGTTTGATTTACACCAACCAGAACAATTAATAATGAAAATAAGCCTTACTATAATTAAGTTTATCATCGAGTAATCGTTTTCTAGGAGAAAGTGTGTCATTTTGTCTTGATTGTGTTTGAACACTTGGCAAACCTCTGTTAATTTGGGGTTCCAGAGATGAACAGCCACTAGTTGATTCTCCACTTTCAGAGCAGTCATCACCTACGCAAACACATTATTCATATATTACAACTCAAACTTTATTAAATAGAAGTTCAGCTCCAAAGTTCAGAAGAAACCAATACCATTAGCCTTGGGCTCCAGGTGCTGCACTGAAGTTACTGCTGGTGTAGAGGCAACAAAACCACTTGGGCGATTCCCAAGGCCACTCGGTCCAGGAATAGCAGACGTGTCAAAATTGTTTGGGACAAGTCTGTTATCATTTGTCTCTGAAGTTGATTAAAATAGATGTTTAAAATTAAGTAATATTCATAAAATAGGCTCAGGAGAGGAAAGGACTGTCATGAAATTACCTGGTTGCACTATTTGACACCTTTGATATGTGTCAACATACCCATTAGTTGTCAGTTTAAATCTTTTGGATGGAGGTGGCTTTTCCAAAGCATCTTCAAAATGATCTTCCTCACTGTTAACAGGGTCCCCTCTACTACCTGAACCAGGGTCTGTCCCAGTAGTGGGAGAAAACCAGCCTGACAGCCATGATGTTGATCTAGGTATGAGGCCAGAGACGCGTGAAGCGACTTTCTTAACAAAGCTCTGGAAAAACAGACAAGAAGTTCACCTAAGAAATATTGCTGGTGAAATATATCCTGACTTCAAAGGAGAGAAAAATAAGTCCAATTGTATTCAAGTGTCTTCAGGAGTCCAGACAAATTTTGGTCAAAACTCTCCACAACAACCCAAGTAAACACCATTCACATGAACTTGACCATGACTTCACAATGGCTAACGAGTGACCTCTGAAAAGTAGTCCTCGCCCTTGTTCATGCCTAAACAATAACAAAACGAGTATAACCTTCTTAGATACCATTCATAAGTACCTTTAATGCAGAACAATAGAGAAAACCCACAGACTGGTCAAATTAGAATGGATCGCCTGATAAACATTATGTCACCGATTTCAGATAGATGACAGAGGTAAGGAAAGCCAAATTTCAAATTCTAGTTCAAACAGGTGCCGTGGTGACGAGATGAGGACTATTAGGTTAGGAAGACGCTTCAAGGCGCCAGGACATTGAGGAGAGCATCTAAATGGAATAGATGATGACATTTCCCCGACATGATGTGGGCGCGCGGGACCAAACAAAACGGGTTCCTTAAAGTGGAATATATTGTGTGAAAGCTACCAGCAACGGGAGAGACCACGTTCTTTTTTTATTAATACATTCCCACATCGCGGGCTTTCATACAGACAATATAACCCAACTCATGCCCCCATTAAGGTGCTAAAACACCAAAAGGGCAACATGTAAATTACAGATGACAAGAAATCATGACGAAATAACGCACGTTTGACGTGGTAAATATGTACAACGCATCATTTCGTCTGTAAAGGTCGTTAGGCTTAAGTCGGATACTATTTTCAGCATTTCGCGCGAACTTTTATTCTCAGAGATACTTACATTATTGGGGTCGTAAGGTCTACTTGAACGTGACTTATTGTTACTCATGATGCTTCCACTTTTTGTAAGGGCTTGAGGTTCATAATAAACTGCAATTAATATTCATAATTTTAAAATAACTCCTACTTCAAATTACTGACAACCTGTGTGGGGGATAATACAAATGGCGGACAAAATGGCTGCCGGCGCATGGCACGGTACACGTGACCTTCGCGCGTTCCATGATGCTCAGCAACAAAAACAAATGAGGTAACACTTGGCTTGAGGAGCGGCAAGGTCCGCATCGGCCAGCGTGTGTTGTAGGGATCCAGGCGGCCGCGCTTGGGCATCCCCGCATGTAAATAAGGAGGACGGACCTAACCCCGTCAAGTGTCCCACAGATTTGTGCGGTTGCGACCTCATTCATTCTGTTACATCTCTAGAAATCAATTACAAGACATGGCAAATACTGTAACAGTCCCTTCTCCGGAGACTCTTAAGAGTCTGGAGTCGTTGAAAATGGAAAGTGAAGTCGACGATGATGTGGTTGATCCGTGGAATGTCGTAAGCAAATCGGAGACCGGGGTTGATTACGACAAATTGATAAGTAAGATATAATTTGTCTGTAGTTAAAGACGCTATGTAGCATGGGTTTAATGCATTGTCTTGTGTTTTTTCCAACACAATCACAAGTACAAGTGACACAAAAACTAGTGCCCCATGAGTCATTTACATCCTGGTGGCAGAGGACTTATTGCTGGTGTAAGCAATCACTGTTCCCTAACATATTGAAAAATGTCTAGACAACTACTCTAAGAAAAATCTACTGAAACATTTTTTCTCAACTTTAGCACTAGTTTAGAGGGATATGGTTTTTGGATTCCATTGTTTTAAGTAATAAAAAATACGTGATTTACTTGTAATTACTGTACTTCTCTTTTTATCCTCAGAGAAATTTGGCAGCTCCAAAGTTGACACAGAACTGCTTCAAAGGATTGAAAAAATCACAGGCAAAAGTCCCCACCACCTCTTGAGAAGGGGTATGTTCATGTCTCATAGAGACATGCACACAATTTTAAATGAGGTAGAGAAAGGAAAACCGTTCTACTTATACACTGGTCGTGGCCCGTCTTCTGATGCCATGCACATGGGGCACCTGATTCCATTCTTCTTCACCAAGTAGGAATTGCCTCAGCTTAGCATGGGAAGTTATCAAAATTCTTGTTTGTTATATTATTTTATCTTTTACTTAGGTGGCTGCAAGATGTCTTTGATGTACCATTAGTTATTCAATTAACTGATGATGAAAAGTTTTTGTGGAAGGACCTTGATATGGAGAAAGCAAAAAAGCTTGCGTTTGAAAATGCAAAAGATATAATTGCATGTGGATTTGATATTGAGAAAACTTTTATTTTCTCTGATCTGAATTTTATTGGGTAAATTTCATCAAATTGATTCGTCAAAGGGTTTTATCAATGTGTTATTTACCAGAGTTTTTTTTCTCCCAGGCAATGTCCAGAATTTTATCAGAACATGGTTCGAATTCAGAAGTGTGTAACATATAATCAAGTGAAAGGTATTTTCGGATTTGGAGACAGTGATTGCATAGGGAAGATCAGCTTCCCAGCAGTCCAAGCAACTCCGTGCCTTTCTTCATCCTTCCCTTTTATTTTTAATAAGGCTAAGTTGCCTTGTCTTATTCCCTGTGCAATAGACCAAGTAAGTTCATCACTCTTACTGTATGTTATTTGAGTAGTATGATCTAGTATGGTTCCCTTTAATGTTCTGGTAGCTACAAATGCACTTGAATGGGAATTAATCTTTTGATATGTGACTTATTTTGCAACCATTCTTTTCATCAGGACCCATACTTCAGAATGACTCGTGATGTAGCTCCAAGGCTGGGTGCTCACAAGCCTGCCTTAATACATTCAGTGTTTTTCCCTGCACTTCAGGGAGCAATGACAAAAATGTCTGCTTCTGACAATAATTCAGCAATATTCCTTAATGATACACCAAAGCAAATCAAAAGCAAGGTACAGTGTGCTATATTATGCCCACACTGCCTTTATCATATGAAACATAATTACTTATTCTCTTTTTCGTTTTTGGGGGGGACATACAGATCAATAAGCATGCCTTTTCTGGTGGACAAGCAACTGTTGAAGAGCACAGAGAAAAGGGTGGGAATTGTGATGTTGATATAGCATACCAATACCTCACATTCTTTTTAGAAGATGATGAAAAGTTAGAAAAAATCAGAAAGGTAATGAGGCTCTCGATTCTTCTTGGTACAATCTTAAATGGTCTTCTGCCCTTGTTTATTGACCTAACATTAAAAAAAAAAATGGTTTCAGGATTATACAAGTGGGGCATTGCTCACGGGAGAGCTGAAGAAAATTCTCATCGACACTATCACCCCCATTGTCACCCAACATCAAGAGCAAAGAAAAGCTCTCACAGATGACACTGTGAAAGAATTTATGAGACCTCGTAAATTAAAATACTCCTATTAATTTTTGTGTCAAATTTGATTCAAAAGGTCCAGTCTAGCCCCACTTTGTTTTGAAAAAAAATATTTCCAGCAATATGGACTTGTTTGTGTAACTAGACACTTGTTTGTGTAACTGGACTACCTCACAAAAGTCAGTCATCTGTAAAATGCAGGCCATTAAGATTTCACAGGGAACTTACTTACTGACTTACTATCACCACCATTATTTATAATTATTTATAATTAATGATTCAATCAAATACCTGCTTTTGTAAGATTATTTATTTATTTCTGAGGTGAAAATGTTAATTAAATTCTGCTGTGATCAAGCTAAATCCTCTTTTTATCTAGTAATCCCTGTTATCAACATCTTACAACAAACCTAAGCAATGAAGGTGAAATGTGTGTGTTTTGGGTGAGTGTAAAGCTAAGCAGATTCAGTTGTATATCCTTGTTTTCTCAGCACCAAACACTTACCATAAAGCATGCAATTGATCTAACTTTTACATAAAAAAATCTTTATTTATCAAACAGAAATTTTGGAACTATCCACAGTGACATAAAAAAGAACAGAAGGCACGTATACATAACATATGCTCTACTACTGAATATTTTTCATACTGATCACTTTGAAAAAGTTTCCTGTTTCCATCATCTATTTGCGTTAACGGAACAACACATTTTAACATTTTGTGTAAAATTTTAATGCTATAGACTAGTTTGTTTTAAACGCTACTTGTATCACATATTATGATACATACAAAGTTCAATTACTCAATTAATACAAGAAGAGAATCTGTATTTTAAAGTATTTCTTTATCACTGATGATCATTTGTAGATCGACTCTCAGAACTAGAACTCATTACTGTTACAGCAGTACACATAACGGTACATTATAGACCTACTAACTGCCTAGTAATAGATAATTAAAAATTTGATAATTTTGTTTAAACAGTACCAGCTTCTGACATTTGGTTACTGCTAATAGGAATTGCTTTGATTAAAAGTTACAAAACGCAAAAATATACCTGTTTTTGTTTGCTGTTTTTTTTTTAAAGATAAAGTTTATTTATAGATTGTGTCAGCTATGAAAGCTCGTAACCAAAACGATCATTTCAGTGAATGGTGTAAGCTTCGGTGCCTACAACTCCTTATGCAAGGCTAACACAAGCTGTTGAAGCTTTCGGAACTATCAGAGGTAGGTAAGGCTCGTAACAATTTTAAAAAGAAAGACTTCAGTGATAAGTTCAGCTAGCAGTAAATGGTGTCATGGTCAGGGAAAGATGGAAAAACATGTGTAGAGGAGTTTTCTACAGTATATAGCCATGGCACAGATAATCTCAAATACTCTAGTGACAAGTTTCTAGGTCATTTTATGTCAGCCACACTTTGTGCATGTCATAGATAAAAAAACATAGCTTTAGCAAATATCATTATTGCTTGGGTAAGAATGAATCCTACATATCTATATTACATCACAAACTCAAGAAATCACATTTTCACTTTTATGTACAATGCAAATTGAAAAACAAAGCAGACAGGTAGTCCCTCATATTATCCCTTCAAGGAAAGGAGTAATAAGCAAAACTAAACAAACTTTCAATTCAACAAGTCAATCAACGCAGTTTGGTGAGAAACAAATGTGCAGCAGCACTCCTGTTAAGGCAAACATACATGTCTCATATGTATGGCACTTTAATTGTCCTAGAAAAATATTACATATTTTTTAAAAACTTGATGATTTTGATAAAATTACAAGAATTTATCACAGGTGTAAAAGATATAATTCACCAGAAACAATTTTAACAAATTTAGAATTGATAAACATGTCTAAGTTTCCAACCATTTATGCAAGGAAAACAATGTGAGAGAAAAATACTGCAAACAGAGACATGTTACCTGTAAAAATTTTGCAACCTAGACTACAAATTTACACCAAGAAATAAGACTAGATACTCAAAACGAGAAAACTCTCAAGAAGTGGTTCTCCCTCAATACAACTAAAACATAAATAAAAAGAGTTTTTTTTTTAATGTTTATGATATGGTCCTGGCAGTTTCAAATCTCACAATATATGTTAACGTTAAGAGAAGAATTCCATATTTATGAATAGAAGCAAGATATTCCTGGAAAAGTATTGCACATAGTTCACTTCAATCTCCAAGACATACAAACGGAGAACAGCAGTCTGACAGTGGCTAATAGAGGAGACTGCCACAGATGATGCCTCTGAACCAGAAAAGGAGACACTGAATCTGAAATGCTAGTAAGTATGTGTTCCGTTCTTGTCAGAAATACAGCTAAGACAGCGGCCAAGATTACACATGGTATGTTTTAAAATGCATTGTAAGAAAATTCTAAAATTAAATAATGGAAAAAATGCTTCTCTTTTAGAGTTTAAGAAAAAACAACAAAAACTGAGAGGAGAGCGATAACATTCTTTAACAAATAATCAGAGGATACAGAGGACAACATTTCAAGAAAAAATTAAATTTAGAACGAGAAAGGGTAAGGTTTCTTTCCTTCTTACAACTTTCTCAAAGTTGAATGAAAAAAATTACACACTAAGAAGACAACCTCAGAAACAATTCTTGTTTTCCTCCATCTTATTACATATCACATAAGCAGGAATAACAGCAGCACAAGAAATATTGAGGTCCTTATAGTTTTCATTGCATTCGTGAGTTTTGTTATTGTTATATTTCGCTGATAACAGCTACCTGGATTTGTCGGAAGTTCTTGCATAAGACCATCTTCCAATAATTTTCAAACCTCTGAAACAGGGCAACTTACCCATTTCAAATATGGATCTTTTCCATTCTTTGATTAATTTTTCTCTTTACAAACATTTGATTTCACACATACACCATTACTTTTTCTCACACTCTCAGGTACACACAGTCACTCCTATGCTCACACTCACCTCATTACTGAGCAGTTTTGTAATGATGGAGAGCACACCATATGTCGAAACTAATATAATCACTGGCTTGAATGAACAGATTCCATCCACTCCATATAATAACACAGCACACAAAGGAACAACTCCATTCCACACTCACAGCAAGACTAGCCTAAGCACAGTCAGAATTGATACACATAGGCTGACAGATGTTGCAGACCAGTGCACAGGGGAAGCCCCACTGGTCTTATCTTTCTGTACGTCTTGCTCCGTTCCAGATCCTGGTGTCACCTTTGTTTCCGGATCACTCCAGTTAGTGTTCCCCTCAACATTGTTAGCATCTGTAAAAAATAAACGCATGTAACTAAACAAATAACAAATGTCCAAGGAACTATAATTTATTAGAGACAGTCTCCCTGTGGAATATGAGAGATCATATTTAACGTGTGCTTTATTTAGACCGAGATTTGGCCAAAACTCGGGCTAGGTCGACGTCGTTCGACCTCCCCACCCCCACGAGTTTCTGCACTCCTCGACTACTCACCGAAGCCAGGCACGCCGCCGTCACCATCGCCGGATCCGGAGCCCGTCTCCCCGTGCCAGGCGGCCTGGTCCTCGTCGTCGGTCGGCGCGGCCCCCGCCGCACCGCTCGCGCCGCCGGCCCCGCTGCCCTCCGGCTCGTAGCCGTCCTCGTCCCGGACAAACGAGTCCGACTGCACCTGCTGCTGCAGCTCAGCCAGCTGACTGAGCACCAGGTGCCGCAGGTGCCGCAGCTGGTCCACGAGGTGCGCGAGGCTGGCGGGCGCGGGCGCCGACCCCGCGGCGGGCTCCGTCAGCTCCGGGTTGTACCTCTGCGCGCTCGCCGTGGACGCCACCACCGTCTTGGTGTACCTGAGGCGGAGGAAGGGGGGAGTCATGCCGGTGTGCTGGTGCACAGAGGGAGAGGGGCCGCCTGGGAGGCAGGCAGCACAGCGTGCAGGCACGCCGCGCTGTTGCCTACCCCATCGTCGCCGGGCGCCCCGCCTGCCCCGCCGAGCCCCGTGAAGCGCTACTCACTTGGCAACGCTCTGCCCGTTCCAGCAGGGCTGCGCCTCCCTGGCCGCGAAGCCCTCGTCGGCGCACAGCACGTCCGCGAGGTCGGCGTAGAACGAGCGGCTGCGGAGCAGCGAGTCCTGCAGCTCCCGGAGCGTGTTGGCGAAGTGGACGGCCGAGGCGGGGGACGCCGGCGAGCCCAGCGGCCCCGGCAGGTCGCCGCCGTACAGCGGCCCGAGGTGGTGGCCCTCGGCCCGTCGCGCGGCCAGGATCTGTGCGGCGGACGCCGCCGGGGCGGCAGTCGGTGGCGGCGACAAGGACGACGACGGCGCCTCGGCGGGGACAGCGTCCACCCACTTGGTGGGGCCGCACGCCGACTTCATCTGGAACAAGGCGGACATGATGATGCCGCGGGTGTCGACAGCTGCTTCGCTTCCTGCCTTACTTCCTCCCTCCTCCCATTCCCACACTGGAACAAAGTATTTCTCTCAACGGGCGGCCGTCGCCTGGAGTAAGAGCCAACAAGAGGAAAATCAAAACCCTTATTCGCCGGCTGCTTGCTAAAAATGAAACAAATAATAGGAGAGAAAAAAGCAGCAGTAGCAGCACGTATTGAGAGCGTGGAATGAAAAAGAAGCTAAAGGACACGCTGCATGCCGGAGCGCTCGGCATGCCGCCCCTGCCCATGTCCCTGAAGACCTGGAGCTGCCCAGCCCAGGGCCTGCTCCTGCTCGTGAGCGCTCGTGAGCGCGCTCGTGAGTCACAGGGACGCGAGGAAGAGCAAGAGAGCGACTCCCTAAGTATTTCAAGATTTAATTTGGTCGTACATAAAAACTGCCGGGATGCAAAAAAAATAAATAAAATAAAAAATTGCAATAAAACATGCGGGCGTCTTCTTTCAAGTTGGCTGTTAAACACTCTTCTTTTCTCTTTCTTCCGCCTCCTACTCTTCCTGATCTACACCGCTTGTCTCTCTCTCGTTCGCCAGGTAAGTGGCGGAAAGCAGAGGAGGAGGGGAGAGGGGGTCTCCTCGCCCCATCAGTCCCCTTCCCTTGTTTGGGTCGGTGAGTCAGGGCCGCCTCCGAGGTAGGTGCCCTGTCGCCGGCCGGCCGGGAGCAAGGGAGAGAGAGAGGGAGAGAGAGAGGGAGAGAGAGAGGGAGAGAG